TTGTGCGGCAGAGTGCACAAGTTTCCGAAGGATCAACGGGTCGGGATCAATGGCTGGCTGCAATTCCTGTAGAACAGTCACGCGAAGCTCGGAAAGTATGCTCCTTGCATTTTGTGGAAAGTGACTAAATTGAGTTAGAAGGTGTCAAAAATGGAATCTCATACCATTTAGTTCAGCGACGTATCGTCCACAACAATTGTGGTTTTTTTTTTTTTTTCTCTTTCAGTGATCATAGTAAAAAAAGAAACGTAAACATCGCAAAATGCTTGACGAAAAAAGAAAAAAAAAGGTGCACCCACACCAGGGATCGAACCTGTGCCCTCTGCGTGTGAAGCGGACGTCTTTCACTGAGTTAGTGAAAGAACATTATCATGCGTAGTAATGCAGCGGGTAAACTGTATATGTCGGAAGTTTGCTGCCGATTTCCCTTCAATACATGCATTCGCGCCTTGAAGTAGGGCAGCACCACGCATAGGCCACATTCGCACCTGTTTGCACCTCGTAGAAAAACCGTACGCGTGCGTATTCAACTCGAAGTACGCACTTCGTGCTTGACGTTTGAGCGAGCGATGTCTTCAGCCACGAGAAGAAACGACGGCTCGCCGACGTCTTCGTGCAATCGGCTTGCTGGTCGGGCGTGTCGTACGGGATGAATATCAGTTCTTTTGATCGGTGCAAAATTTGTCTTTCTAAGGAAGACAGAATTCGCCGGTACCGTGAACGACAGTTCTGAAGTAGAGGTCCAACGCCCGTCGTCCGCTGCCATCCGCTTGTCCCACGATACGCGAAACGACACCATGTTGAGAATTATGCAGTGAACGTACAGAACGCTTCCGGTTGTCTGTGCCACCTTCTTTTTTTTTTTTTTAATCAACGTATTTGCAGTTTTTTGGAAGCCACAAAAAATTGGTCTTATATACATATTTTTTATATTTTTAATATTGACCGTATGCCTTCAATGACCCACGACTTTGATTAAATTTGGTGGTCGCGTCAAAACCTTAGAAAACGGCCTGTGACCACGGAAAAGAGAGTGAGCGAGACTCAAACCGGCCAGTTCTCGATTGGCGTGTTTCGGGCGAAAAAAAAAAAAGCGAATCTCGAGCCGCAAATTGTGTTCTGGGTAGTTGGGCTCTCATATGTCACGTACAACCAAAACCCTCGGCGAGCATAAATACCCTGTCAGTGTCCCTTTAACAAAGAAGGTTGAGCGCTTAATGAAACGCGAAACCGGTGGGTCAACTGTCTTTGAGTTACACCTAGAGTAGAAGCTTTTCATCGTGCCACGTAGGTCGTGTGCGCCAACAAAAAGACTGTTCAGTATGGTTCACTTTCAGGCGCAGAAGTTTATTCGCAGTAGAAAAAGGAATATTTTCGTTTTGATGCATGCACTGTAAATAACATGAGCACGAATTACTGCCTCAAGGCGTTGAAAAATATTGCAAAAGTAATTGCATTACTTTTAGAAAGTAATCATTACTGTTATTCTGAGGTAATTTGTAATATAATTTAAATACATTTTGCAGTTTTCAAAAAGTAATTAGTAATGTAATTTAATTACTTTTGGAAACTAAGTTTGCCATCTCTGCACGGTTCCAAGAAGTCGCAAAAGTATTTGAACGGGCATTTAGAAAAGAGACGTAGTCCTTTCAGCCACGTTGTCACTATAGTCGGTTGCAAGCTAAGAAAAAACCGGAAATGCCTCTCAGAGGAAAATGTAATCCTACGCCGAGAAACGCCAGCCAATTGCTTTCATGACGTCACGATTCTGTGGACTAATCGCGATCCTTTTGAAAAAAAAAAAAGCTCAACATGGCTGCTGGCCTTAGCAACGCGATGCTATAGTTTCTCGTGACAATTATTCTGCTTTTTTGCACCATGTTTTACGTGCCCGAGGTTACGCCACGAAATCTTGATGGTATCGGCTTGCGTTTGCAGCAGTTTTTGCGCGACAACGTGAGAATCCAGCGACGCTATCGCCAACGAAAATTTCGAAGCGGGCGCGAGGCTTAGCACTGCTGAGAGGTATGTTAGACAGTATCTTGGACAGAAAATGAATTGGGAAGACGGTACATTGGACATGAATTTCTTTCTTTCTTTACTAAACAGCTATTTCGTTGACAAAAACGTATTCTGACTTATTTAAATGTCCTGAATTAATTAAATAAATATTGTAGTAGTTTAAGACAGGTTTCCTGGAGGAAGAAAAAGCAACGTTGCTAGCGAACTACTTTCTCGACGGCGGAGGCACTTCAGATGGGCGCAACGCGCTTGTGGGTGGAGCTAAAAGATTGTTCTTAGGTTGCATCCGCCTATACCTCGGCCGCACGTCCTTGCTGGGGCTCCTATAGCACGCTGCCAAGATAGCGACGAAGTGCAAAACACGACTGCGTCATCCTTCGTGATATATGATTGTGGAGAGAACTTCCGTGCGCACTTTCAGCGGTGAGCTTCGGAATAAGGCGAAAAAAAAATGCTCAAACGGATGGACGAATATATCACGATTGCCTTCTCTCAAAAGTGTTAAATTGATCTGGCCTCCAACAGTATTTGCAATGCGCAACATGACCCGCCTAACTACTAATAAAAATGAATTAACAACCTTTAGTTAGTTTTAAACTTATCGTGACGACCATCTTTCATGTTCTGTCCACGCGTGGCCCCATAAGTCACCGGCATAGACCGCATTTTATAGCTTTCATCATTTTTGTTTTCAATTTAATCTTTAAAGGGGCCCTCCGGAGCTTTCTGCGATCGTCTGTTTTTGTTGTTATATTGCGTAGTAGGTGCATGTTAATATGTATACAAAGTTTTAGATTACAAAACTGTTTATTAAGCAGATGGCAGTAGAAATATATCGGGACTATTTTCTCTTTGAAGACAATCCCCCATTCCCTGCCCATCGCTAAAACTTGACCAATGGAAATGCTGCATCTCGCAGTGAATGCGAACGTTACTATTGCAACACTTTTTAAGCTTGTTGTAAGGTAGAGTTTGAGAAAAACGTAAACTGATTGTGGTGCGGGAAACATAGTCCGCAATTATCGCTCCAAAACCAGCGAACTATGTTTTCTCCCCGCAAGCTTGTTGCTAGGGGGTGATGCGTCGGCGCGTCGGCTCGTCTGCTTCCCGGGGCGTCTGCAGGCGTGCGTTTGCGGGACACGTGTTCCTTCTTCCCGTGGATCCCGACTCCGAAGCCAGCTTTGCGATCCTTCCACGTCAACGAGTCAAACGTTTCCTTGTCATATGTGGCGCGACGGTGCGGTGTGACGAACGACGACTGTCGAGCACAAAGTCCGGGCCCCTTGACGACGGTCCGCGCGTGTTCGAGAGATTCCTCCGCGGGTCGGCGGTCGGCAGCGTTGGTGACGCGCAGTGACGCCGGAATCCTTCTCATGCTATAGTCAGTTACAGGTTAAGAAGGTAGCGGCAAATGCCCCTCAAAGGGAATCGGATATCCCTCCGCCACCTTTGCATCCAATAGCGTCCCACCGTTTCCGTGACGTCCCGGACAACGCGCGAGGAGGGTCTTGCCTTTCTGTACATATTTGCTTTATCTTTCAACTTTGACTTAGCATTGTGGAAGGCACGAGAGGGAGATTAGAGTTCTCCCCCCCCCCCCCCCCCCCCCCCCCGACGGAAACAAATACGACTTTCGGGGATTAGCTTCCCCCCCGATGGATACAAAGGCTGCTTTGAGGGGCTCGGTTCCCTCTCCGATGAATACAAAGGTCGCTTTCTTAAAAAGTGGGATCGGAGACAAGTGGGAATCCATTGAAGCGGAACAAGGAGCGTTTCCAGTGAACTCTTCTTTCGACTGCGGAGAGATTTGAAACGGGCGCATCACACTTGTGGGAGGAGCTTCTCCTACCTTCTTGACTTGTAACCGACTATAGCGACTATAGAGATGCCCCTCCCGTTTTCCGGGGTCATCTCAGAAAGGGGGGCGTGCCGGGGAATGAGATAGCAATTTTAATAGGGAAATCCGCCGCGCATGACGGTAATTTTATAATTTTTAGGATCCTTAGGGCCTGTAGATTGAGTTACCGCCATAAATAGACCATCGCAGAACGCTCCGGAGGGCCCCTTTAAGAACTAAAAAAAAAAAAAAAAAACCTGGTATATAAATATTCCAGACTGGGATCATGGACACTTCCCGCTATTGCACAGCGCAATGACTGTTATACAAGCGCATTGATAACCTAAATGATGTATAAAAATGGGAACAAAACTTAGATTGACGCATTTTTAATACACGGCACATGCCTAATAATTTGGTACAAATATGTTAACAATGATGTCTGCATTCTGCACGTATCCCAATCTTGCTCGCTTTTTTGCTTTTACCTGTGCCGGGGTTCACGAACAAAAGCTGCGGATGCCGCCCTGATTGGGTTGTCCCCGTCATTCCAGTGGTCAATTGTTTACTACTAGATTCAACCAACAAAACATGTTCTCGCGTTCCAAGTTCCAACCTGCCTTAAAATGTTCGAAATATTGAAACTCGGTTGTTAAACAAGAAGTAGTCTCAGGTATTTATACTATGAATGTCTTTTTTGCCCAGTTTAGGAATACCTCAATTCACAAATCACCCAAGAAAACTCTACAAGTGTTATATACTTATTTTAGAAACATATCTTTAAATATCATGACTAAAAGACAAACAAGAACTCACATTTTAATGATTTGAAATACTGAATTTGAAATACTGAAATACATTTCAACCTACGAGGTAGGTTGAAATGTATAAGTAACATTATGTTCTGACTTGACATTAACAGCAGCCATCGGATTATCAATATTTCAGAATTAAAATGACTATAGGTAGGCACCTGTCAGGCGACAACCTGCGGACTCCATGAAATTATGATAATCCAATGTCATAAAGAGCAGGGTTACAAACGCCCTGTTTCATCGATGTTGTTTGAAGGAATAAAAGCTGATATACTATGGTATATCTTGTTCAGTGTTTAGAAATATTGTAACTCCTTCCTATTTACCTGAGTGATCCACTGAACACTGAAGCCACTAGTGTCCCACTTAGTCCGGGATAGTCCCTGAGCAGGTCTTGAACAATGTAAGGCATGAGCTGCAAATAATAAACAAAATTTCAATTGTTTTCTAGTTCAGGACTAGCAGCATTGTCAGAAGAATGCCGAATCTACTTCGGCTGAATTATGCTAAAATGTTTTTCATATCTTTTTTTACTTCAACTGTAATAAAACAAAGTTCGGCTTCCGCGTGTTTTACTAATTTCCCCATATATGTGGAGAATTAAGATTATTGTATGCGCATTTAAAATCAATCGTTGTTTATTTGATCAAAAGGTACACATTTAAAGGTCGAAAAGTATAATTACAGTGAAACAATGAAAGCTCGTTAAGCCTATTTTGCGCGCGCAGTATTTTTTTTAGATGACAACGCGTACCTTTATTTTACAGCCACATTTATTTTCAAGAAGGGGACATCTGTGTTTTGTTTGAAAACCAACAAACTCTAAACTCGGGGTCAACTTTCTGTGGCAATGAAGAAAAGGCTGGGGGGAAGCTAACGGGTCAGCTATCGCTCCAGTAGTTCCGCACTTTTTTGGTTTTATTTATTTCATTTATTTCAGTACCCTCCAGGCCCTGAGACCTTATAGAGGGAAGTGGAACAAGACAAATACGGAATACAAACAATAAACAAACACTAAAAACCAAGAAAAAAAATGTAAACAAAAGTGTTAACAAGTTTAGAAATTATGAAACAAGGCAAACAAACAGGAAAAAATATTAACGTAAGTAAGCAGTCACCGCACTTTTAAAGACCTCGAAGGACGGTATGTTTACCGATTGCGCGGGAAGGCGGTTCCCCTCTGAAGATGTTCTGGGAATGAAAGAGTTATAATAGGCTGAGGTTGTGCAATAAGGAATTCAGACTTTACATTAATGATCCACGCGCGGTGAGATGAAAACAGGCTTTCATATTAGTTTGTTGGTGAGATGAAAACAGGCTTTCATATTAGTTTGTTTTTTAGTGAAATATTGGAATAATACATTTTATTATAAAAGTGAAAACGACATATTTTTCGGCGTAATGAGAGAGCAGGAAGTGGTAAATTAGCGTTCATAGTTGACACACTAGATGTTCGATGATAGTTAGTAAATATAAAACGGGCACCGCGATTCTGTAGGGCTTCAAGATCAGCTACGAGAGTTGAGAGACCCAGATCCCAGATTGCTGCGGCATAGTCCAGTTTGGAATGGAGAAGGGTTTTATACATGAGTAGTTTCAGAGACACTGGGGCTAACCTAAAGTTTTTCTTTAAGAAACCAAGCATGGAGTTAGCGTTGGCGATAATATGGTCAGTGTGCGTCGTCCATGACATGTTAGAAGGGATGTGAACCCCAAGGTACTTGTAGCATTGTACAGTTTCAAGAGGAACTGTACCATGCTACAAGTTTCACTTTGGGATTTTGCGTGAAAAACACGCAATTGCTACGGTTCATCTCATCGCATCAGGATTGCGGCTGCGGCTGGGTAAAGGCCGACGTACAACCTCGGATGTCTGCAGGAAAGATAACCCTCTTAGCGCTCCCCTCTCCTAAGCTGCGAGGGATGCCAAGTTGGGGCAAGGGAAAAAGTGGAAAGGATATAGGAAAGGAGGAGGCGGGCAAAAGTGTAAAGCGCGAAGTGTACGTCGGCCTTTAAAAAAAAACAATGAAAAGAAAAAAAAAACTTTTTCAAAGCATTCTGTTTGGGAAACGCGCGTCGAGAAATAAATTTTAAGCGAAAAGAAAATCTTTTTAAGAGCAATATTGACGGCGCGATATTTATTTAATTTTTTCTGCGTGCAAAGTCCATGACATCACGGAATGGTCTTATACCCCTGTCAGACGGGCACCTTGAATGTCATTTACGCTAAAGGCCTTTAGGATTTTCAAATGACATTTAAGTCGTGTCGTGTCAGACGGGCAACTCAAATGTCATTTAGGTGATGTCAATCACGATAGCGGTCTGTTGTTAACCCGGCAAACTAGTGTTTATTTTATTGTTTCCTAAGTAAATAAAATGTAATGAATCCTTAGAACATAGAATTCAAACGCGGGGATGAAAACTAAGTACACGTTTTGACGGAGACAAGGTGTTTTGTGGCAACGACACGACGTCAGCAATCCCAAGTAATCCGTAGCCGTAGCCGTTCCGCCGCTTGGCTTGTCTGCTTTAGTAACTCCGTGCATCTTGCTCGCCGTTGTTCCTCGCGCTCTTTCGTTCTTCGCCGGATTCGTATACCCCGTTGACGTCTACGTCTGCGATTGATTCAAGCGAAGACCGTGACCCTGTAGCGATGGAGCCTGCTGACGACAATGATCGTAGTGCGATGGATCCGGAACTGTCGGAATGTAGGATCGCGTTCCTGACGCGCAACTGAGACCGCGAGTATATTAAACAAATATATCGCAAAAGGTGTGCGAGATATACACGTTATAAGCATTTTTTTTTCTAAAAATAATTGCTACAAGCATTGTTTTCAATTGTATTTATATTATATATAATGTTTTATTTCAATTCGCGGAACTTGTGCTGACCGCTGTTGACGAGACTACACATTTACGAGCCGTAAATGAGTTTGGGAGAACTCAGTTGAGCTCGAATGTCATTTAAGTCAAATGTCATTTGAGTTGCCGTGTGACACTGCCTCAATGACATTTACACTGAATGTCATTTGGGGTAAATGTCATTTGAGGTGCCCGTCTGACAGGGGTATTACACTCTTTTCCCCTTAACGAGAGGGCCATATACTCCTCCACCTCAACGTGAAGGCGAAGCCGATCCACCTCTCCTCCACGCGCCCGAAATGCCGAGAGAAAAACAAGTGGAAAGGAGGTGACTACCGACTAAATCGCGTTCCTAGCCGTCAATATTGCTCTAAAAATGTTTTTCTTTTTCGCGTAAAATTTATTTTTTGACACGCGTATCTCATTTAAATTGTAATAAAAAAAACAAAAACCTTTTTTTTTTTTTTAGTGGCTCTTTAAGGATGCTGAACCGCAATCGCCGAGCATGCAGACACATCCGCGTTCCTTTCTCCGCGCTTCACCCGTTTCTAAACACAAGACAGCGTTTTGACTGAAGCACAAGAACCGACTTACAAGGTAAATTACCCCGTGGTCGATCTCGTCCAATTCTGTTTGTCTTTCGGTCGACGCAGATATGCGGCGGCAATTTAAGAAATACCATACAGTTTTGTATGGTATTTGTAGTTTTGAAGTTATTGACACGCAAACTATTCTGATGCTGAAACATCACAGTGCGGGCGCGATATACCGAAATGGGAGCACGCACACGCTGCGGCGCGAAATCGAAATCCCGTTCAGTTACCACTGGCCATTGTGTGTGCGTGTGTGGTGGTTGGGAGAGGGGGGGAGGGGGAGGAGGCACAGTCTACAAACTGCTTTGAGTGTTTCCTTTTGCACATGTAACTCTCACTTTTTATGTTGTTCATTTTGTGGCAGAGACCAGACAGATTTTCTGGGGCCGAAAACACTACCGGCACGTCAAAATGCGACGCCACCCTTTTTAGGTTGTGTTAAATCTTGTGCATGTAAGGCATCACGACGGGTCTCACTTTTATCCTTACCTGGGTGCTTCCTCATCATTCTTTTTCCTCTTAATCTTAGACACAACTGTTTCGGCCACCTCCTGATTAAAACAATCAGGGTAGCCCGACGATCTCAGGCGTCCCACCTGGTTGAAAAAACTATTATGCATGGCGTGTTTGCATGTTTTAGCAAGGGAAGCATTCGTCGGGAGGAGGCGATCCCTCTCTTTACCAACTTAGAGTGGGCTGAATTGAAGGGTAACACACCGGTCTTTAAACGTGGTTCTTACTCCCAGCACACGTACTCTTCTTGAAGATCTAATCTTAAATCCAGAAATCGCATGTTCCCTGACGTCATTGTTTCGTGAGAAAAAGTAAGGCCACGCGAATTCGATAAAAAGATTTCTAGGACTCTTTCCATTACTTTGTTCTCCAACACTGTGGGCTGTGGTGCTAGCACGAGGAAATTATCCATATACCGTAATATCGACACATCCCCTTCTCTTTCTAAATCGTTGAGCACACCCCTTCAAAATCCCGCCAAAAAAGATATCACAAAGAACAGGGGCGACACTTGACCCGATTCAGATCCAGTGCTTTTGTACATACAGGCCGCCTCTGAAAGACACATTTCAACTGACTGTCAATAGACAGTCAGTTCAAACTTGAAAATAGCGCTTGTGCTGTGTCTCTTCCATTATGTCCTTATCTTGCGGCGCTTTTGTCAAAAGGAACGATGTACCAACTAGCCCATCTCTCACTATTGATCCTGGGCTCAATCAGCACCCCCGCTCGCTTACGCCGCTGAGATCGCTAACCAACCGGTACAGAGAAACAAGGGAGAGAGCCGGTTCTTTCTGTGTCACTTGTTCGTTCACGTTGCACACCATTTGCTTGGTTTGTTCGGACTACTTTTGGTCGCCAAACTTCGCGAAAATACTACGGGACAAAAGTGCGAGCTCACGGAAGGTGCCGACGATACACCTGGATACTTATCCAGGTGTATCGCTTTCGTGTGCACACACGAGAAAGCGCCGCACACGAGAAAGCGCCGCCATGTTCGTTTTGCAGCGAACTAGTAAACCTGTGTCGAGCTTAAACAAAGAAAACAAAAACCTAAAGGAGCTAAAAACAGAGGCTAGTTTGGCATGTCCTGACTAATGTTATAGTAACATTGTAAACTCGAAGCTAAAAATTACATTTTTAATTGGGTAAGTTACACTTAGCAAAATAGTTTGGTTGAACTACATTCAGCTGCGCAGTGAAACGGAGTGCTTCAGCTCTGCAGCCTTGGCTGCATTACCACGAAACGTTGACCCCAGGTTCAGACCTATCCAAAAAAGAGCTCCTGGCCGGCTCCATTTCAGTGTTCGTGCGTATGGCGCCTGGTTTGCTCGCTTTGCGAAGGGACGAACACGCGCGTGCTCGTCTGAGTACCTGAAAATGTTGGAACGGCGTATAGACCGACACGCGGAGCGGCTCTGTTTACCAACACGGCCGGAAGGCCG